TTTAGGGTTTACGGTAAGGGGTAGCATGATGTAATGGCCCGCTTGCCAATGCCAACCTCGGGCGCCCCCATGCTTCGCGAGCTTCTGCGAGGGTGTCGTTCATTCCGACTTGCGATTTAGGATTCACGACGGTAGGTTTCATTCTAGATTTAGGTTTAGGGTTTAAGGTTTAGGCTTTAGGGTTTAGGATTAAGGCTCTCTAGGGCTTGTGATTCAGAGGCTGAAGTTTTCGGTCTAAGATCGCAGTTCAGTGTTTCTGGGCTTCAGGTTTCTTCTGCAGGGTTTAGGGTTCAGAGCTCCTGCATTGGACTTACCCAAACCCCCCAAAGTAGGTAAAATAATGGCCCAACACCTCTAAAAGGCTATTATTCTACAAACTTTTGGGGTCCAGGTATCGACTGTCTAGCATGGGTCGCTAGGGAAAGCGCGGCATCAGATTTCAAACAGGACTTTCGAAGGTTGCTGGAAGTGTCTGGTTCAAGTTTGGAGTACGCACCTCGGTTCCACTTCTCCTTTCGGTAGCATCGGTTTCAGTACTATGTCTTGCCAGGCCTGAAATGTCAACCAGTGATGAGCGTTCAGGATTCAGACTTATTTAGGCTCTCGACCTAGCTGCGGAACCCTTAAAACGCCATTTAGAAGTCCCAAAACCCTAAACCCCAAACCCTAAAACCACAGGGTTTGGGGTTTAGAAGTCCGGAACCCGACATCCTAAGCCCCCAACTCCCAGCCCTACACCCGAGCCCTTAAATTATTAAGTCTACAAGGAGGGACAGAGTACGACCAGCGCTCCGACACAGCCGCAGAACTCGGAGGACAGGGCCAGAGGGGTTGTTGGTGTTGGTTGCGGGCGTCAGGTGTGGGGGTTTAGGGTTCCGAATGCACGGTTTAGGGTTTAGCAACGTAAGCTTTCAGGCATTTGTGTGTTTGGGATGTACAGTTTAGAGTTTGGGGTTCTTGAGGATCTGATTTCAGACTCCGTGTCTGTGATTCTACCTCGGGGCAGGTTCAGTTTTCTGTGCACCCGCATCGTACATCTTCCTAGATCCTAGACCCCACATCGAAACTCTGAATCCCAGAACCTGCTAAGATACCATGTAACTACATGCCTAAGATACTCGATGTTCCAAGCCTTTTAAAGCGAGAGCCCAGCCGAACGTGCCGACGAGGAACCGGCCGGCGCCCCTAATGCCTCTGCCCCGGCGAGTGACGAGGCCAGCATGCTCAGGTTTGGAATCTGGGTAGTTTTATGGTTTAACTAGGGGCTTTGGGCTTGGGGTTTCAGCCCTAAAGCTTCTCGGGAAGAGGACGCTGTGGGAACCTCTGTGCTACACCCTAAACCCTAAACCCTAAACCCACAGCGTCCCCTTCTCAAACCCTAAACCCTCTTAGGGATCTTGAAGTTTCGGGGGTCGCATGGGGCCGACCACCCTGATCCGCCCTTACGCCTGAGCCCAAGTTCTCAATTCCCATCCAAACAGAACCCCAACTCGCACTCCCAAACCCAACCCCGAGTGGGGTGATTTAGGGTAGGATCTACCTTAACCTCAAATAACTTACCTTTTTACGGACTGAAAAAAAGAATTCATAATAAGGAGTCCTAAAAGGTAGGTTCCTTAAGGTCCAGGTAGGGTTTAGTGGGTTTACCTTCTTTTGCGTTTTCTACCTGCTGAGCCGCATGTGGCTTCGGGTTAACCCTAAACCAGAAATCTTTTGACACTCGGTGCCAAGATCGAAGAGGGGTTTGAAGTCTAGGCCCCCTCTACCTCTAGACTGGCTCTAAACCCTACGGCTCTAAATGCTAAACCCGAAACCCTACACCTAAGGTTACACCTTCAACCCTACATCCCAAACCCTAAACCCTAAACCCAGGGGCCTTCCCAAAAGACAAAACCGAATGGCCTGAACCGGTTCACAGAGAGCCCCCCCCCCCCCACAGGACGGCGACGAGGAGTCCAACCAGTCCCTTCTCTCCTTGGGTGCTTGGCTCAGTGTGCTTCGCCTTTTTGAAAAATACATGGTAGATTCGGAAAATAGGGGACCCGAATATAGTACCCTAAATAGTAGGATCCTTATTATAAGGACCCCAAAATAAGGTACCCACAATTTTCGGAAACTCCCACATAGTGTTTAGGGTCTAGAGTTGAGAGTTGAGAGTTTCAGGGTTTCCATACGGGCTTCAGGGTTCAAAAGGGGTTCCAATAAAGCATCAAAAGGGGCTTGAACGTGGGATTTAGGGGAGTGTCGAGCGCATTTAGGGTTTAGGGTTTTAGGGTTTTAGGGCTTTAGGGTTTTAGGGTTTTAGGGTTTTAGGGTTTTAGGGTTTTAGGGTTAAGGGCTTTAAGGTTTTAGGGTAAAGGTTTCAGGATTGTAGGGTTTAGGGTTT